ACCAGAGGAATGTCTATCTGTGTTTCATTGACTATGCAAAGGCATTTGACTGTGTGGATCATAACAAACTATGGCTGACTCTGAGAAGAATGGGATTCCCAGAGTACTTGATCTTAGATTACAGATACTAAAAATACTATGGAACACAATTCTTTTGAAATAGATAGGATAACCATGAGTTGGTCTATTACCTTGGTCTATGTGTATGTTTTGCATAAAAAGGACCTCCTCTAAGAAAGGATACTTACTTGCAAATTGTAGTCTTGTAGAATTTTAACCAAGGAATCTCTCAAGTTAGGAATTTCCATTCCTTCCTTAATACGGTGAATCAGGAGAATTGGGTCAACATGTGTGCCAATATTGTTTAATAAGCCGGTAATAAATGCTATGGAAACACCACATAGGACAATGAATATAATAATATAGGTGCAATGCAATATATATAATTTTAGGACAAAAATAACTCATAAAACAGAATGTTTCCTAAGTTAAGTGTTAAAACCATTTAAATTTTTAAATTCTCCAGAATTAATCTTCCTTTACTTTCCACATGACACGAATGAGAAATTATAGTGATTTTTTTTCCAGACAAGAATCAACAAGATCACTTTTTAATAATGGAGAACAACACAGTTGTTCAGAAGACAGCTGGCAATGTCAAAGAAATACAACTAATGTTTATGGGAACTAATATTTATGGATCAGATATACATTTCTCTTCAATATTCTGCAGGTAGAAATGGTATCTGTCCTTATTCTACAGGAGAAGTATAAAGAGCGGTAAGCTAATTTATCTAGGATTACACAGCTGTCAGGTAACAAGCCCAGATTCATACCTCGGTCATACTTTAAAGTTTTCCATTACAATTATGTTGTCTCTTTTAAGATCTATACACTTTTTAATCTTATGAAGCTAAATACCCAGATTCATGTAACTACCAAATTCTGAAACCAATATTAGTGAGATTATTATTAAAAGAACTTGCAATCTTAATAGAGAGAAATATCCTTCCTTAAGAAATTGGGGGACAGAAATTTAAAGCTCCTATAGCTTGTTGAAAGTTACTGCTTTTATTACAAATGGCAGGCACAATGTTAGCACCTTCAAGCTGAAGTTCAACAAAGAACAAATGTAAACTAATGCCCACAACAGCTTATGTGCAGGAAAGAGCATCTGAATACTCTAATAGCAAGTATCCAAATATGACCAACATTCAACTGTCAAGCACTATAAACTTTTAAAAGGAACTGCCTTTGTGTACAAAACAAAACCACTCAACCCAGAAACCATTTATGCAGTTGGTTGTTACAGTTTGTTGTTACATAGACTTGACAGGGAGGCATTTAACATGAGCACATTCAAGTAATGCAAAGGAAGGGGGCCCCAAACTTCTTGATGCAGGAGAAATACTGGAAGTTGCTGTAATACATCTGACTTTTTATCATTATAGTTGATGAACTATATTTTAATTCCATGTGTTAAATTAATTTTTTTTTTTCTTTACTCTAGGCAATGGGGGTTGGTGTATGGGAATTGGTGAGACTGGCTAAGAACAAGTTCAGAGCTTCTGTACATAGAATCGCTGTATGCTGCAGGCGACTCAATGGCATGTAACAACAAAAGCATACTATATTGTTGGGTTTTGGAGTTGTTTTAAGCCTCCTGTTTAGAGTCAACAAGATCTTGGAGAAGACCTTTGTATTTAAAAGATGGTTGTTATTATATTTGGAGGAACATTCTTTTAAGCGGTACAGCACTCTTCTGTGAATATGCTGTACAGAGGTAATTTGGGGCTGCTGTGATGTGCCACTGGGGTGTCAAATGCTGTAACAGTTATTCATGGCAGACAGTGTTTGGTGGAGCTCCCAGTATCAGACAGGTTTGGAAGCAGGAGTGGCATTCACTTCCTAAACAACATGCCTCTGGAAACTCTATGAACTCTGATAAATGACGATAGTTATAGAAAGTCTTCAGGTCTTTCGTTCATAGGGTTGCTATGAGTCGTGATCGACTCGATGACAACAACAACAACAACAACAACAACAACTAGATCTAACTAGAGAAAATTTGTAACTGTACATGATTATTCTGCTTACGTGGCTTGTCAATGGAATAAAGAATCAGGTCTTCCCAGAGCTCTGCATCATCTTGCTCCTTGGCAAACTCGATTGCTTTGTCAACATCATGTAACTCCTCCATGATCATCTTCAAGGCACTCCGACTATTACCCATTCGGCCTACATGGGATGTAGCAGTGAGAAAAAACTTAATTTATGACATTTTAATTTGTTTTAAAATGAAAGAGTAGGGCCTATCTTTAAATATGTTTACACAGTCTGAAAGCTACTTAAAAGTGCATTTTCTTTGCAACACTAACATTAACTGCTTGTAACATAGTGGTGAATTTACTTGATGTGGAGTATTCATTAAATATCTTAAATGAATTACATATTATCACTTTAATCCTAGTTGTTGTTGTTGAGTATCCTTGAGTTGGAACCAACCCATAGCTCCAATGGGTTTTTAGAAGAAGTTAATCACAGGGGAGGAGACGGCCCATCCTTCTCCAGCAGAGCAGCTGGTGGATTTGAATCATAGGTCTTTGGGATTGCTACTTCTTAACACTAGACTACCAGGATAAGCCTAGTAAGAATTTACTATTCACATTCTTATGTCAGAAAAAGTTTACATTGCTGCTAAATGGTAGTGTTAGAATTAGACCCTCTTGTGTCAGATTCCAAGTACCATGTAACAGATTCACATTTCTTTTTTCAAATTTTATGACTGATCATTGCCATTTATTAAAACATCAAATTCCCTCTGTATCCTCCGTTCCGCTTCCCCCTAAACCATCTATCTGCTAATCTCTGCTTCCCGCCTTCATTCCTGCCACCCCTCCACAATTGTTTTCATCTGCGTATGAATCTTTCACTAGCTCTCCTGGCCCCATAACTGTCCTATTTGTATAACAGTAGTCTTATAATATTTGTTCTTTTGTGGAAAACTTATTTCATTCAGCATAATGTCCTCCAGAGCCATCAATGCTTCACCCATCCATGCATAAGTTGTTCAGTGCCATGTAATACGCCATAGTGTGACTGTATCACAGTTTCTCTAGCCATTTGTTTGTTGATGGGCAACTGGGTTGCTCTCATCTCTTTGTTAATTGGTGAAGAGACTCATAGGGCTTGGAGACATTCTGTTCCATCACGTGGCCTTGCACAAAGCTGCTCTGCTGTACTCTGTGTCCACTGCAAGCTTATTCATCAGAGGCTACTTCATTTCTTTCCCTCCCAAGTTCAGGGGAAGTACAATAACTTTAAGATTATACTCAAGTAACAAAACAGTCCCTCAGTGTAACACTGCCAGTATAGAAACTAAGGTGCACACGATCTAGGCCATAGTCTTCGCAATTATTTGCTATGCATTAGAGTGCTGGACAATTACTAAGAATGGCAGAAGAATTGTGGTGTGAGAGAAGAGTATTTACTATACCACAGACTGTCAAGAGAACAAACAAGTCTGTCCTGAAGAAGGGAAACCAGTTTGATCTTTGGAGGCAAGGATTTTGAAATCCTGTCTCACATACTATGGGCATGTTGCCAAGAGAGACCAGTCCTTGGAGTAGGACATCATGCTTGGAAGGGGTGTTCAGTCAGCACAGGAGAGAAAGACCCTGGATGAGACAGATTGACACAGTGACTTGGGGAATGGGGCAGGTGTGTTGAAGATGGTGAGATTGGTTCAGGATAGGATGGAGTTCAGAGCTATTGTTCACAGGGTCACTAAAAGTCATAGTTGACTCAATGGCACATCAAAAACAAAGCATTTTATACCAAGGAAGGCAAGTCTGGCAAGTCCTGGGTTTCCTGAGCTTGTTGAAGAGCATCTGTGGATCTGCATATCCACAAATGGGGGTAGAAGATTTGCATTGTTTTTCATGACAGAGGAGCCACTTAAAGCTGAGTGTTGGGTAAGAGGTGGGTGTTAAGTGGAAACCCCACAGGAGTTAGGGCAGGGAAGCGATGTGGGTGAAATCCTCATAGTGAATTCCAAGTATTGGGCAAGGGGAGACAGAAACATCTGCATATAGCTTTCTTATGTTCCCCAGGAAGATCTACATTGTTTTTTGTGCAAGTGGGTTATTTAGGCAGAAAGTAAATATATATTAAGTTCTGTCTCTGGACACGCATGATCCAACCAGTCAACCTGTGGAAGTGGGAGGCAGTGGACAGAACCACTCACAGTTTGCATGTAAAATATGCTAACTCTCAATCATATATCACTTCTAATTATGGTTAGCACAGGAATCCAGAATTAAGGTTGCATAGAGAAGTGTACTTGGGGTGGGCGGTGGGGGGAAGGGATGTGGGAATTGTATACTAATGAAGGAATTTTTTTTCTTTTTCTTTTTTCTCTCTTCGGAGGGGGAAGCGAGCTGGTGGGGAGGGGTGGGCAGGGAGAAAATTGCGGCAATGAATGAATAGAAATCCAAAACCTCTGTAAAAAATAAATAAATAAATAAATAAAAATTTAAAAAAAATGCTAACTCTCTTTCTCTCTCTAAAGTGCCAATACTGAAGTTCATTTTCCTCAGTTAATTCTAGGTACATATTTTTTTTTAAATTAACACTAAACATTTCAACCCATCTACAACTTTCTAAGGGTGTGAAGTGTTAAGTGACAAAGGTTTTTTGTTTATTAATAACTGCAAATATGCTGTATGAGGTCACTCGTGGTTGCTGTGATGCTAAACACTGTGACACTGATGTCTCAAATGCAGTAATGGTTATCCATGGTGGACAGTGTTTGGTGGAGCTCCCCGATTAAAACAAGGTTGGAAGCAGGAGTGGCATCTACTTCTGATATAGTTTGCCTCCGGAAACTACATGAACTTTGAGAAACAATGAAGTCATACAAGTGTTCAGGTCTTTCATTCATATGGTCACTATGAGTTGTCTACTACTCAATGGCAACAACAACAACAACAATAATATGTTGTTTGGAAGGAATATATGATTAGGTATTATTGGCATGACATGAGTGTAGAATGGGAGCTGCATGGTAAAGTGGACCTGGGGATGGGGGACGACTGTCTAACAATGAAAGAATTTTTTTTCCAAAGAGAAAAGTGAGCTGGGGAGGGAGGGGGGAAAGGGAGGAAAATGTGCAACAATGAATGAATCAAAGTCCAAGTTCTCTAGAAAATTTCATTAAAATTACAATTAAAAAATTTAAAAATACCCAAACAACTGCTAATATGTTTACTTAATGATGTTTCTTAAATAATTCTTTGGTCTCCAACTGGCTGTGACATCCCCTTTTCTGAACTATTAAATTCTTGTGCAAAATAAGAGTCCAATTTCTATGCTACTTTCATCTAAAATTATGCCCATTCTTACACAATTTGTATCACACTGCCACCCTGTATTTCTGTATGTATGAGGACAAAAATGAAAAATTACTCACTTAGAAGATAAACTGTCTCTTCCACAAAGTTCCTCTGTTGACAGATTTCAAGAGCCTTCAAATAAGCAGAATAAAAATGTTACCAAGAATTATCAAACAGGAATATTAGCAGGATTACTTAAACTTACAAGTCCAGAAAAATCTCTCCACTGCTTTTCTTAGAATTAAAACAGAACAAAATATTGCAAGCAAACAACAAACACGGCTCCTTAGGCCTTGCTGGTGGCTCTACCCATTAGTTTCTTGGAAGAGGTACCAAACTCCATGCAAATCAGTTATATATCAACCAAAGACAGCCATTGACTCATATTTGTACCAACTCAGAACATCCCATAAGCAAAGGCAGAAAGATCCTGGGAATGAACTTTTCCAGCACATTTTCTCTCTTCATGCTGTTGTAGTTATCTTCACAGTACACTCACTATTCTGCAACAAAGGCACTGGTTTAGGCTGCTCATACCCACTGGATGAACAAAAGTTCCATGAAAAGAGAGAAGAGGGTTGCTTTGTTCAGCTTCACATTTTACCAGCAATGAGCATGGCAAATATTCAATAAATATTCGCTGCATAAATAAATAAATTTACTAGGGCTATTTCAGGTATTTACACTTGTCTGTATGACTGTCCAGAATGAAAACAAAAACCAACACTACTCAGCAGCCCTCCTGGGATGGAAGCTACATAACTAATGAAATAAAAAGCTTGAAACTTTTGTGAACTCTCTGCTTTTCAATTTAGTCCTTTAACCAAAGACATGTGAGAGGTTAAATCATAAGATATTAAAAAACCATTTAAAATCTGTTCAGCTCCTTAATATCTTGATTTCTTCCCTTTGTTTTGGCTTCTTAGTGCTCTAGTGCAATATTCACAGTCTCTTCTGACATCCATGTTGGTCTTTTCTTCCTCTTTTGTCTATGTAATGACCTTTTGCATTCTTCCTGGATGATATTCTTGATAACAAATAGGTTCGTCATGGAGAGGGTTAAACCAGGCTGCTCCGTGGAGGCAAGGATTCTGAAGCTTCGTCTGACATACTTTGGATATGTTGCAAGAAGGGACCAGTCCTTCGATAGGGACGTCACGTTTGGTTGGGTGGAGGAATGCAGGAGAGGAAGACCCTCAATGAGATGAACTGATTCAGTGACTGGGGTAATGGGGCTAGGTGTGTCAGAGACAATAAGATTAGGACAGGATAGAGCAGGGTTTAGGGCTTTTATACATGTTGTTGCTATGAGTCTCAGACGACTCGATGACACGTAACAACAACAACAACAACAACAACATTAAAAAACCAAAACATAGGAGATTGAGACTATTCCAACAAATTGAGGCTGAGTGCCTGGATTTATGCTTGGTGCTGGAATTATAGAGAGAAAGGGACTTTGTCTCCAAATGTTTGGCAGGACTATGTTGTTCACAGACTAAGTGTAATACAGAAGAGTGTAATGCAATTGCATAGGCAAATTAAGACAGAAAGGAAAGGTCTGTAACTGTGCAGAGACCAGAGAAGGAGTAGGTCTTCTCTGTGGAGAAGGTAGTATCTGAGAGACACTAAAACATGAAGATATTTACCCAACTAAGCCTCTTTTCATAATGGTAATGGTGGTATCTTCAAGATCAAAGAGTAGTATACAAAGAATACCTAAGAAACTAAGTTTTGATCTCTCCTGAAAATATTTTAAAAGTATATCAAGACAAAGTCTTTACCATCCTTGCCTCTGAGACACTCTGAATACACTTCCTCTAAGACAGATTTCTTTGTTCCTTTGGTAGCCCATGGTGTAGTCAATATGCTTCAGCAACATTACAATTCAAAGGTGTCAATTCTTTTTCTTCCTTATTCACTTTGCAGCTATTCCATGTCCAGCTATTCCATGTATATGTGGTGACTGGAAACACCACAGTTTGGATATGGTACATTTTAGTTTTTAAAGTGACAATTCTTTAACACTTTAAGGAAGTCTTCTACTACAAATGGGTTCAACATGTCTCTTAGACATGATGAAAAAAAAGTTTATTTAGATTATGGTTAATCATTACACACTCTGTAAATATAATCAAGTGCACTGGATTACACACTTTAATATGAATGAATTTTCTTTTAAGTTAATTTTATCCCAAGTAAGCTACTAAAATATCAAAGAGAGAAAAGAAAAAGGAAAGAGATATAGATGTTACTTTACTTGTTGACTGAGATTGAGTTGAGCATGCCTCATAGCGACCCTATGAACAGAAGACCTGAAGTTCTTCTCTGTCGTCACTGCTCAAAATTCTTAGGGTTTCCAGACGCATGTTGTTTAAGAAGTGGATGTCACTAATTTTAAAAAAGACCTTTAGCATGAGATTAGTACAATACAATGTTTGATTTCTTGACTGGTACTTCCACAGACATCAAATGTGGATCCAACTAGAGTAAAATTTCTGATAATTTCAATCTTTTCTGTTTATCATGTTATTAACTGGATAAACTGTGAGGAATGGCAATGAATTTATTGTCAAAAGGAACATTTGAAGATCTACTCTGAATTACAATGCTAGTAAGTGATGTTGTTGCTGTTAGTCGAGTTGTAGACTAACAGGGACCTGGTGAACAATCAAACTGAATACTGTTCTAGCCTGTGCCAACCTCTCAATCTGTAACAGTTTCAAACCCAATGCCACAGTCACCATGTCAACCTACCTGGACAATAGTCTTCTTCTCTTTTGCCATTCCTCTACCTTCCCAAGTATGATGTTTCTCCCCAAGAACTAGCCTAGCCCTTTTAGCAACATGTCCAAAGTATGTGAGAGGAAGCTTCAGCATCTTTACCTACAAGGAGCTCTGGCTGCACCTTCTCCAAGACATATTTATTTATTTTTTTCTTTTTCTTATTACATTTTATTATGTTAGAGGGGATGAGGGCTTTGGAGGACGGTGGGGCACATTCAGTCCTTCTTGGCAGCCACCTTCCTCAATGGCCAGGACATTGCTGAGTTCTTCTGGTTTCTTTTTGTCATGGATGTGTGTCCCCAATCTCTTCATGATGAACTTGAGGGCCTGCTTTTCCGTGGAGACTTTGAATAGCTTCATAGCACGATGCTCATAGTACATGAAGCCACACACCTCCTGAATCATGTCCTGCACGAACGTGGTGTGCTTGGTGAGGTGCCAGTGGTGGCAGCTGTGCCTCGGTTTGCTGACAATCTTGGTTACTATGTGGCTCTTGTTGAGGTCCACGGCCATGGGGCAGTGCGCAGCCATGGCTGCTGTACTTCTATAGCTACAGCAGCAGACTTGTTTGTTTTTTCAACAGTCCATGGGATAGTCAATGCTCTTCTCCAAAACACAACTCAACCATATCACTTCTGTCATCTTTATTGACTATCCAGCTCTCAGATTCATAGCAAGTGATCAGAAAGATTCTGGTCTGAATCAGGCACACCTTGTTGTTGTTGTTAAGTGCCATCGATTTGTAGATGACTCATAGTGACTCTTTGAATGAAAGACCTGAACACTTGTGTAAGTTTCATCGTTTCTCTAAGTTCACAGAGTTGCCGAAGTCAAGCTATTTCGGAAGTGGATGCCACTCCTGCTTCCAAGTGTGTTTTAATTTGGAAACTCCATCAACCACTGTCCACCATGGGTAACCATTATTGCATTGGACACACCAGTGTCACAGTGTTTAGTATCACAGCAACCATGAGTTACCTCTGTACAGTAAGTGGACAGACCAGTGCTATATCACTCAGAAGAATGTTTGCCCAAAAACAATTAAAACAAGGCCTGGGGGCCACAGATTAAAATCACCCACCTTTGGCTTGGTAGCATAACTTTCTATCCACTAGGCCAACAAAGCTCTATATTTTGGTTGTTATTGTTGTTAAGTGCAGTCGTGTCGTTGACGACTCATAGACCCTATGAACGAAAGAACTGAACACTTGTATAACTTTCATTTCACCAAGTTCATAGAGTTTCTGGAGGCAAAGTCCTCACATTGACATCACTGTTCCTCAAGAATTTGATTGTAGACTTTCCTAGTGGAATATATCTCTTTATTTCCTGACTGCTGGTACAAAGCATAATTAAGTACTCTGGGATTCCCATTATTCTCAATGTTAGCCATACTTTGTTACTATTCACACAGTCAAATGGTTTTGCATAGTCAATAAAGCTTTATTTTCTTTGAGCCACGACACATCTGACATCAGCAACATTATCTCTGATGCCATGGCCTCTTCTAAATCCTGCTTGAACTTCTGGCATTTCTCTATTTATGCATGGTTCTAGCCCTTTTTGAATGATCTTCAGTAGTATTTTGCATGTGATATTAATGAAATTTGATACTTTCTATATTCTGCTGGAATAATGTAATTGTCCTTATTGTCTGTTCTGAAACGGTCACTCTTTATTTTTGCATGATAAATTCTGCATAATAACTTGATCTCTGGAACGTAACTTTGTCAACAGATGAAGAATAAATATAATCTAGCAGAATAATGCTCTTTGAGTTAAAAACTCATTGTTGTTAGGCTGGCACTGACCCATAGCTCACCTCTCAGAAGTTTTCTGGAAGCTGTACACTGCGTGAGAGGAGACTGCACATCTTTCTCTTGCAGAGCCACTGGTGGTTCTAAACTCCAAAAAAGGTGCCCGCTTCAGGTTAGCAGCGGAACTCCTTACAGATTATGCCACCAGAGCTCTCATTCTGTGAACAATGCTTTCTAATTTGTATCCCAACTTTTTGAAGAAATATAATTTCCTACCAAAGGAACAAGACTGTCTCCCATCAGTTTCCCTGCATGAGCAATAATAGTCATCCTGTGCCTTATTTTCTCATTCATGAAACACCAGATGAAGTCTTGATTCCAGTATGTTCATTCTTCACACTTTCACTCTAGGCTAGTCCAGTGTTTTCAGAGCTAGTACTGCTCAGCAGAAGGCACAATGTGCCTGACCCAGAAGGAGAACTCTGAGAAAACTGCCATCTTACCTGTGTCACAGGAGCCCTGGGTGGCACAGCAGGTAAAAATACTTGGGCTAACCATGCAGAGCTGTGGGAAACTAAAATGTTAAACTAAATGTAAGCCAGGAATTTAAGGAAATGCAAATACAAGCTGGAATTCCTTCTGAGATAGGTAGCAGGAACAAGGCGTCAAGGCATGCCTCATGATGCCTCCGCAATTCTAGGAGTGTGTTTGCAAAACTGTAAATCCTGAGATAAGTATAAGGTTGTCAGCCACAAAAAACCTAGCTTCATTATTAAAGAATATTCTCTGTGATTTACCTCCTGGCAATTCTCAATAAAGGTTAGAAGGGAACTGGGCTCTGGGCTACAGGCTTGGAGCTGTCCACTCTCTGCCTTTGCGTTTTCTGTCTCTCCTTTGTCCCTGGCCTACAACACAGAGCCACCTTAAAAATAAAGGTGTATGTATACTGCATTGAAGCAGATGAGGGAGAGAACAGTTTAAAAGCGATATATGATTGGGTATTATGGTTATGACATGAGTCCCGAATGAAGGTTGCACAGTGGAGTGTACTGGGGGGGCGGGGCGGGGAAGACTGTATACCAATGAAAGAAATTTTCTTTTACTTTTCAAAGAGTGGAGAGAACTGGGGTGGAGGGGTGGGCAAGGAGAAAAGTGGAACAATGAATGAATGGAAATCCAAAATCTCTGTAAATGTTCATTAAAATTAATTAAAAAAAAAAGAAAAATTAATGAAGAAAAAAAAAATAAAGGCGCGGTGATCTGCTTCCAGAAATTACAACCTTGAAAACCCTGTGGAGTCAGAATGGACTCAGTAGCTTATAGGGTAACTGGTATATGCAGCACATAGTTCTTCTCATACTTAGAACTTACTTAGAGAACTAGATTGAATTTTTTTAATAGTTTTCTCTGCTCCTCAGAAACAACAAATTGTTTATAAAAAGACAATACAAGCATCCTGATACCCTCTTGTTCAGGGTCTTCATCTCTTTTTCTCACTCTCTACCTTCCCCAGTGTGATGTCTTTTTCTTAAGCACTGGTCCCTCCTGACAACATGCCCAACAGATGTGAAAGGAAGTTTCACCATCCTTGACTCTAAGAAGCATCCTGGTTGCACTCCTGCCAAGACAGACTTGTCTGTTCTGTTGGCAGTCCATGAAATAATCAGTACTCTAACACCACAGTTCAGTTATCATCATTGATCCTTATTCACTATCTAACTTTCAAATGCATACAGAATAAATGAAAATATCATAGCTTGGATCAAGTGCACTTTAATCTTTCAACTAACATCACTGCTCTTTTTAGAACCTTACAAAGATCCTGAACAGCAGATTTTGCCATAGCAACATGTCTTCTGATTTCCAATTATTAGTACTGTATGGGTTGATTATAGAGCCAAGTAAAATGACAACACTGACAACTTCAAAATTTTTTTCATCTATCGTAAAAAATATGGAACGAATAATTGGCTATGAGTTCAGAAGTGAGGATTTTGTCTTCTTGACATTAAGATGTAACAGATATTGAAGTCTTTCATCTTCTGTAACAAATGTTGCAAGTCCTCTTTAAATTCAGCAAGTAAGGTGTGTCATCTGCATAATGCAAGTTATTATTGAGTTGTCCTCCAATCCTGATGTCACTTTATGTACTCTAGTTTTAAAAATGATTTTCTTTGCATACATGGCATTTTCTGAATCCAGTTAACATTAGTCAAATAATAAACTGTAAGCTAAAAATTCACTGAGCTAAAACTGGTTCATAGTAAATCTAACAATTTAAACTTAATCATCATGAGCTGATGAAGCTACTAAAAAAGCTATGAGTGTATATTGTACATCAAATGCTCGTGATTAATCAATGTCTTTGTACATATCATTCTGGGTCAGACGTGCTTTCTTGTTTGATATGCAAAACGGACTGAAAGTATTTGTTAGTTGGCTGTCTGAATTTAGTAAGACATTTATTGATAGACAGCATTCTAAGTGGTATAAAGAACTATGTAAACAACACTGTCAGCCTGCACACTGCCCAGGTACACAGCTTGTACTAGGGTTTACTTTGAAACACTGTCTTATAAAGCTGACTCAGTCATATTTAGCCAGACTTAGGATCTTGAATTCATTCATTTATTCATTCAGGAGCTCACTACGCACAAATGTATCATCAGTGTTTAATGTGTGCTGTGTTTACCAAATGAGTAGGACAAGCTCCCTGCTCTTGATGTATTTACTGAACAGTGGGAAAGAGACTAATAAGCAGAAAATTACCGTGGAAAGCAGTTGGATAGAAAAAGGTAAAAGAAACCTTATGATTTTTTAAGTCAGGCAAAGAATAGGACTGAAATTACTGACCTTGGCAGAGCCAATGGGCCTTGGGCCCTGGTTCAGTAGTTACACTCTTAGCCTAGTGCCTGACTCTGACATCCCGCAATTTTTTTACCTGATGGTTGATTATAAGTTTAAGAACCTGGATTAAACCATTATTCTAATTAACACTGTCACAGAAATGATTAAGCTACTGACTCAGAACAAATTGAACAGAACCTCCATTTTCATCAAGAGGCCCCAGGGACACCTAAGTGCTTGGAGAATAGCCCTTCTCCGAATGGAGGTAAATGAGCAGAGATTGGAGGACTACAGCAATAACCAGGGTTCCAACAATGACAACTCTGTAACAGAAAGTGACAAAGTGGGGGAGTCCGTGACTTACCTTTTCCAGGGGGCAATGGGTACTATCTCGAAGAAATGGAAGCAAGTTGGGCCGATCATACTCTGCATAAAGGCTGATTTGTTTTTCATGGTAGCGCTGCCCCTTATGATGGTCTCTCTTGAAAAGCTTATGCAAATACTAAAAGGAACAAAGGATAAGTCATGGAAATTAAAATGAGAAAGTTATACCTGGGTACTATCATTACTTTCTGTTCTAAACAGTTTACATGAGTGGTCAAGGAAGAAGCCATTTAATAAACACTCATCTCAATGTATAGAAGATGTACAAGGGAGAATGCATGGTAGGTAGGTGGGAGGGAGATTCTGACATTCATTCTAGAGCAGTAGCCAGTAACCTGGCTCTGCCACTTACTAACCCTGTGATGCTGGGTAACCTACTAACCTTTCTTATCTGCAAAGACCTCTTTGGAGGCTTGCTGGGATTTCATGAGCTACAGTTTATAAATCATTCAGAACTATACCTGGCATACACTAAGCATTGTATGTTAATAATCACTATTGTTTCTGTTTCACCTTCCTTTACTTTTTTGGCATGAAAAGAGGTCAATCACATGTTAAGAACCTATTCTTAAGAACTCAAAGAGCAAGCACTGTACTAATTTACAATCTGCATCTTTTCTTTGTTAAGTTTTTTTGGTATCTCCCTTGCACTAAAATGATGCTCTGGGAGTAAGGAGAAAAATGTGCAACAACAAATGAATAGAAATCTAAGTTTTCTGTAAACTTTCATTAAAATCCCAAGAGAAAAAAAATATATAAATAAAAAGGAGCAACCACATATCCCCGCGCGCGCTCTCTCTCTCTCTCTCTCTCTCTCTCTCTGCTGCTCTGTGGCTTAGTGCTAAGGAGCTGCATTATCAACCCAAAGGCAGGAGGTTGGAGTCCAACAACTGCTCTGTAGAAGAAAGATTAGCAATCTCCTCCCATGCGATTTACTGCCTCTGAAAACCCGCTGAGGGTCAGCAATGAGTCGAGTCTGACTTGATGGAATATAACAATATACTAAAAAAATAAAGCTGACAAGGAACAGTAAGTAAAGAAAGCAACAATGTTGGCCTATCAGCAGGAAGAAATGAGTAAAAACTGAGTGAACTACAGGTGTTCTGAATCTATTTTCAAAATGCATTCCTTATTCTCCTCTGAAAAAGTTAATGGACCACAAAGGAAGTAATTCACTTTCTACTCACAGCAAGATTAAGTCCATCAATCCATTACACAAAAGCTCAGAATCAATGTTTAGTGCTTAGTAAATGTTACATGACAAGGAAACCCCCATAAGCCACTGGAGGCAGGAAGAGCTTAATCACATCCCCAGTGGTTGTTTCCAAGTACCCTGGTTCCTAACCATACCCGAAAAGCTGTGATTATACACAAACTTGCCGATTTTGGCATTTGTTGCATATATTCACTAAATTTGCCTAATCACGGCACCTGCACATTAACTGCTCCTTGGGTTAAATATCCACATCTTCCTAAGGTAACAGGAGTTCTAAGCAATCAGACGGAAGTCATCTGTGGAGAGAGGCTCAGGCACAGCCGTGACGGTCAGCGGAAAGCCCTTTTGGAGCCCTGACTCTGTGTCCACCATGGGCTGTGATAGTGCTGTCTCTCAGATGTACAGACAGGATAAGAAAGCTCGATCATCTCTGTCAGGTCAAATTTATAGAAATACTACATTGCTTGATGGGTGAGATGGGCCACTGCAGTGTGGCCCTGCCCCCGCCGCACCACAGCACTAATCTCACTGCCACACAGATACCCGATGCTCATAATTCTGTCTCATGGCTTAAGTAGGTCAGAAATCACTGCTTCATAAACAAATTCCCAAGATGGTCAGCACTGCAGAGCTCAGCCTGGGAACGCAGGCAATCGTGAGATTGCTGATTATTAGCAATACAACAGCAGCAGCCGCACGACCCCTGAGTGAAAAGAGTACCCCACAGGTCTATCCAGGAGTCTTCAAAAGCTTTGGGTATAAAACTGAGCCTCGAAGAAGATCCTTTATTTGCTGAGTCTCCTCTAGGATGCTAAAAAAGTCCACCAAAAGGTACTAATTGTATTCAATGCCCAGTCGTAGTGGGATGATTCTTACTTTCTCTGACAGCCTTCCTTGCATTTTTTTTAAAGGCTAAAGAAAATACCTACTCTTTTCTTACGACCATGATAATAACAATGATGTAGAGAAGAAAAGAAAATCACTGCCCTACTCCAGAAACTTCTAGAATGATGGGCTTCAAGACACACAACAACCAAGTTCTCACAGGAAAGGTGATTAGTTAGCGCCAAAGTGAGGGGACAAAAGTACAAGGCTTGGCTCTAACCATGTGATCATCCCATACAGAGACCTGTTGTGTAGTACATTCTTGTGTGAGAACTTGGGATCAGTAGTGCACATACTGCTCTTTCCTTTCGCCACAATTTCACAAAAACAACATGTTGTGGTAACGACAGAAGAAATGTGCTTACTTTTGGGTGCTGTATGTAAAGATGATAATGAGTAAGATGACCTTTTTGCTTTTGCTGCAAAGAAACTGTGAGCTGAAATTTAAGTGCCTGATTTGTGATTGATTCCTTGTCTCAGCTGCACAGCAAAATGCCCTTTTTAATTTTTTTCCCCTCCTTGTTGTGTACCATCAAATTGGATCTATCGGGCACAAGAGGAGACTGGCTCTCCTTCTCCAGCAGAGCATCTGGTGGATTTGAACTGAAAATGCCTTTTTTTAACAATTACAGAATAATGTTTGTGGGGAGATGTTAATCTGAATACTAATTTTCTTAAGGAGGCCATTCCAACATCCTCACTACAGTACTAGGCGGCGGTTAATGTCAACATTCAACCGAAAAGGCTGAAGATGACTGTAATGCTCACCACATGCTGAAGCTCCGGCCTGTCTTCTAATTCTTCCACAACCTTTTTAATCTGTTGGAGGGAAAAATAAAAACAGAATATTGCAAGTATAGTTGTATCGACCTGTAAATTTATGTGATGAGTCTCTTTCTTTTTTTGTCTCTTTATGGTGTAGTGGTCCTATACACTCAGGAAACACCCATAAAGACTTACATACTTACTGAAATTTTATCTTCATTGTCCAAAAGCATGTCAACAGCTTTCTGAAACAGAAGAAGGGCCACAATCATTCCACTTGTCATCCAAGAAGAGAATGTTAAATACATGTAGTACATACATCTTGACAATTAAAGGCAGAGAGGGTTTGTTTTCTATATTTAAGTAGGCCCTTAACTTTAAAATGACACTTTAATGAGATTAAGCTTGCAAATATAAATGTTCAAAAGCTATCTCCTTTTGAGGCCTATTGTTTTGCACAATACTAAACTGGTGCTTGCAATAACTTACTAAGTACAAAAGTACATCCAGAATACAAACATGCCTGGCCCTTGGATGTCTCAGGTATCTTCAAAAGTTCTCTTGAGAATCTTGGTAGTTAGAAACCGTGCCTCACTCCAGTACCACCAGAATGAACTTTTATGTTGTTCACCTGAACCTCAACTGCGTCACAATGTGCTATTCGTAAGGAGCTGATCATGTTAGATGTTAACAGTCTTTCCCCTATAAGAGTTACCAGAAGGGTTTGGCAGGCATTTTGTTGTGTTGGGTTTTTTTTTTTTTTTTAATATTTACTCTTTTTTTTTTCCATTGAGATTTTGATGAAAGCTTACAGAGAACTTGGATTTCCATTCATTCACTGTTGCATATTTTCCTCCCTACTCTGTGTCACTCCATCTTTTGGGGGATCTTCCTCGCTTTCTTCGATCCTCTACTTTTCCCAGCATGATGTCCCCTTCCAAGGACTAAAACCTCCTGACAAGATGCCCAAAGTATTTGAGATGACGCTTTATCATCCTTGACTATAATGAGCACTCTATATATCAAAATGGATTATTTTTATCATCTAAGTGGAAAACTCTGATTCCTTACCCATTGTTTATAAGTTTATAACCCTGAACACAAATTAATTTTGCTCATTTATCTTATCTGTAGTTACATATGCAGAACTAGGTTCCTCACACATCAGACAGATACAGCAGTGATAGAATTAATTTTTCTACAATCATCTCATACTTTTAAAAAAAATTTGCAAATTAAATGATTTATTCATGACAAATACTTTTATTTTTTTTATTAAATTTTATTAGTTTTAATGAACATTTACAGAGATTTTGGGTTTTCATTCATTCATTGTTGCACCGCTTTCTCCACCCTCCTCCCCAGTCCATT